TGCATTTCTACTATCCATAGGTGTCGATATGTTCTTTTTCTCCAAATACATATGTAGTTATAAGAATCAATTCCGTTTTTAGGATTTTAGAAATTTAACGTTACATGTACCAAAATATGCAAATAGCATATATGTTTGATATTGTCGAATGATTTACTAATGTTAATGATGTTGAACAATCAATTTCCCCCAAACTCTCTCTCTCTCTCTCTCGACACTACGAAAAATCTTCTTTTAATTGTGTATAATGGTGGACTGTCCATCAGGTAGATAGTCTCAATTCTTCATTCCATATACAATTTTCTGTTTAACTGTATTTGATTATGTGAATTTCTATCTATGAATTTTTAAAGATCCCTCCACTATTTTATAAGATGTCCGTAGAATTGAAAATGATTTTGCAATTTCCTGTTTAATTGTATTTAGTTTCTCTTATGTCGACACATTATGTCTTGGTTCTATTTTCATTCCAAGTGCAACTACTGCAGCATGGCCATGTTCATGCAATGGAAACCTTATGGCTTGCTGGAACATTAAACAATCCTGACGAAGTTTAACATGTGAGGCTTGTCATTTCTTTGGCTGTCCAAAGAGATTTGTTTCAAAATTTTGCCAACTAGTACACCATATCTCAGACTCAGTAGCTTCTATTGGTAATTTTAAGCAGCTAAATTGAAGGTCAAAGTGAAATTTTAGTTATAATATCTACTCTTTCTTAGTTCTTCCACATATATGGTGTAAGACGAGCTAAAGCAAGAGTTAACACATGTTAGGTACTAGACTGTGTTCATTCGAATCATTCCATGATTTATTGAAGCATTCTTTTTATAAAGTCATGATTTATTTTTAATGAAGTAGGTTACATTTCAAATTATTGTGTACCGTAGTTACACTTCAATTGCAAAGCAAAAAATTGAAAATTATTTGTTTAAAATAGAATTAGCGACATACATAAATAAAGATAAAACAAATTAGGCAATAATTGTATATTGTTGATGTGGCAAACTCTTTGTGTCGTGAAATAAATTTAACTACTAGTACAACTAATCACATAAATAAATATCCATTGTCATAAAATAATTTACGTAATAATTTTATATGTTGTAAAATAAAATATGTGACATATATAAATAATCACGAAATAAATTAGGCAATAACTATACATCGGTGGACAAATAATGACGTGGCAAACTCGTTGTATTGCGAAATAAATTTAATTAGAAACATTACTTGTTACATAATAAATTTCACTAAAAATGTTGAGTGAATTGTTTCAAAAATCACTGAACTTATACCATCGTTACAGACTGCTCACCAAACTTCATTCTGCTTCA